GCACTACCACGCCCGGCTGATTTTTGATTTATTGTAGAGATGAGGTCTCGCTGCCCAGGCGAATCTCGAACCCGTGGGCTCAGGCAATCCACTCACCTCAGCCTCCCAAAGGCACGGGATTACAGGCTGAGCCACCGAGCCTGGCTCAAACTGTTTTTCAAAGTAGCTGTACATTCTCTCCAGGAATCTAAGAGAATTCTAGTTTCTCCACATCCTCAATATGTCTTTTTGATTACAGCCATTTTAGCGTTTGCATAGTAGCATCTCATTGTGGTTTAATTTGCATTTTCCTAGGGATTAATGATGATGAGTTTCCTTCATGCACGTATTACTCATTGTATATTTTCTTTGGTAAAATATCTATTGAAGTATTTTGCTCATTTTTAAATTGAGTTTATCTTATTGTATTGTAGGAAACTTTCATGTCTTCTACATACAAGTCTTTTATCAGATTCATGGTTTGCAAATACTTTCTTGAAGCCTGTGACTTCTCTTTTCATTTTCTTAATGGTATCTTTGAAAAGCAACAGTTTTAAATGATAATGTCTAATCCATTTTGTTCTTTTATGGATGGTGCTTTTGGTTACTTGTCTAAGGAATCTTTGCCAAGTACAAGGACACAGAGATTTCCTCCTTATTTTACAGGGGATTTTTTTGTTAATTTTTTTTTCTTTTTGAGTTGGAGTCTCACTCTGTTGCCCAGGCTGGAGTGTAGTGGCATGCTCATGGTTACCCCAGCGCCGACCTGTTGGGCTCAGGCCTTCCTTTCACATCAGCCTTCCAAGTAGCCAGAACTACAGGCATGCACTACCATGCCCGGCCAATATTTTTGATTTAGTGTAGAGACGAGGTCTCACCAAGTTGCCCAGGCTGTTCTTGAACCTGTGGACTTAGACAATCCCCTCACCTTATTTTACAGGGTTTCAAAATGTTAACTCTTATATCAGTTCTTTGTCTTTTAAAATGTTTTCATAATAAAGTATTAAGCAAGCTTTATTAGGTCTTTGATCCATTAGGAGTTAGCTTTTGCATATGATATGAGATAAATGCCCAGTTTTTTTGTACCATTTGTTGAAAAACTGTCCTCTCCCTATTGAATTACACTTGGCAACTTTGTTGAAAGCCAATTGACCCTAACTGTGTAGGATCTTTCTAAACTCTGTTCTGTTCCATTTATGTAAGTGTGTAGTCAGTATCACACTGAGTTGGTACATTTATAGTAACTTTTGAAAACAGGTACTGTTAAATCCTCCAACTTTGTGTTTCTTAAAAATTATTTTGGATATTCTAGGTTTTTTGCATTCCTGAATAAGTTATGGAATGAGTTTGTTGATATCTTTTTAAAAAATTCTGTTGAGATCTTAATTGTAATTGGCTGAATCTATCCGTTCGAGAATTGCAATCTTAACAATATTGGGTCTTCCATTCCTGAATGTGGTATATCTTCCCATTTGTTTAGGTCTCGTTTTCTTTCAGATCTATCAGTCCTGAAATGATTGCTTTTGATAATTTTATCCAATTTTATATTTGTTCTTTTATATAGAGGCATCAGTAACTTCTTCATTCCTACATAATCAGAAGTTGTTCTGTATAGTGGTTTTTTAACCTTAATTAAGTCTTATACTGCTGATACTTTATTTCCTTCTATATTTTATTTATTTTTTTTAGAGATGAAGTCTCACTATGCTGCCCAAGTCAGAGTACAGTGCCTATTCACAAGCGCAATTATAATGCGCTGCAGCCTTGAATTCCTGGGCTCAAGCAATCCACCTCACTCAGCCTCCTGAGTAACTGGGACTGCAGGCACCTGACTTCTTCTCCCTTTCAATTAAAAAAAAAAGTTTTCTTGAAAGGCACTAGCTAGATAGGATTGTGTTATATTGTACTAGCTGTAATACTTTGTAGAAACACCACTGTAGTAGAGGAGAAAACAGTGGTACCTTGTAACTTTTGTTTTATGCCTCCATTTTAAGGATCACAAACTAAATTCCTTGAAGAGGAAATAGCCTACCAGGAATATCAAAACAGCCAGAACTGGCCAGAAGATACCAACTTTTGTTTCCAGCCGGAGCAAGTAGTTAATCCTATGCAGACTGGTATGTACTGGCTTGCCTGTGACTGCTGAATGTGAACTGTGACATAAACATGAAAGCACCACTCATCTCAAACGTTTTAGCCCAAATATAGCTCATAAAGCACAACCTGAACAATCATTTAACTCCTTCTCTTCTCAATTATTTCTTGAGACGCTTCATGCCCTCTGGTTCTCTGTTCTTCAAAACCTGTTTTGAATAAATAATCTGAAATTCACATACATTGAATACTAAGAATCAGGAGTGTCTTAGAACCTTAATTATTCCAGAAAGAATTATTATAGTAATAATAGTGCCATATGTTTATTGCCTGTTTTATTCCAGGCACAGTACTAGAGCCTTTTACATACATGTTGTCTGTGCTTCGTATCTAACTCTGCCAAATATATATATATCTCCTCTTAAAACTGACTCAGCCGGGCGTTGTAGTGCATGCCTGTAATTCTGGCTACTCGGAAGGCTGAGGCGGAAGGATTGCCGGAGCCCAGCAGGCGAGGCTGCAGTGGCCGGGAGTGGCCACTGCACTCCAGTCTAGGTGACCGAGTGAGACTCTAACTCAAAAAAAAAAACTGACTCATACCCAATTTCTATAAAATTTTTAAAAAGAAAAAGTCTGTCTGTAGTTGCCCAGGACCAGAAGTGGTAGGAAAAATGAATTGCAAAATTACATCAGAGGAGTAGCATTAGTACTTCGTGTCAGCCAGTTTAAGAACTCAAGTTATGTCCATTTATATAGCTTCTTTTTTGCCATCTAACTTGTAAGATGCTCAAGGTTGGTTCTAAAAAAACTAGTTCTTGATGTTCTGTACCATTCTTCAATTATTGGCTTTCCTGAATATACGGGAACTTAAAAAAAAACAGCTATATCTCAATATAATTCATGTACTATACAGTTCACTCATTTAAAGTGTACAATTCAGTGGAATTTGGTATATACACAACCATCATCAGAGTCAATATTAAACCATCATCACAAAAAGAAATTCTGTACCCTTTAAATATCACCCACATCTCTCTATACACCCCAGCCCTAAGCAACCACTAATCTGCTTTCTGTCTCTATAAATTTGCTTATTCTGGCCATTCCATATAAATGGAATCATGGAATACATGAGTGTGTGTTTTCTTTGTGACTTGCTTTTTTTACTTAGCATAATGTTTTCAGGGTTCTTGCATTTTATTCACATATCAGTGCTTCATTCCTTTTTAGGGACACATAGTATTTCATTTTATAGACAAAACATTTTGTTTATCCATTCAGTTGATGGACATCTGTGTGATTTTCTTTTCTTTTTTATTGTATGAATAACACTGTTGTAAACATTTGTGTGCAAGTTTTTGTACATTTCTCTTGGGCATATACCTAAATTAGAATTGCTGATCATATGGTAGCTCTGTGTTAAATCATTTGAGAAACTGCCAAGCTGTTTTCCAAAGCAACTGCATCATTTTATGTTTCCACTAGTGATTTGTGAAGTTTGCAATTCCTCTGCATCCTTATCAACACTTGTTTTCCTTTTTAAAAAAAATTATAGCCAACCTACTGAGTATGAAGTGGTATCATGGTGTGATTTCATTATGATTTGCATTTTCCTAGTGACTAATGATGTAGAGTATCTTTTCATATTTTTCACGTGCTTATTGGCCATCTGTATAAATTCTTTTTTATTTTTTTTATTTTTGAGTTGGAGTCTCACTCTGTCGCCCAGCCTGGAGTGTGCCATGGCATGATCATGGCTATCACAGCCTCAACCTTCTGGGCTGGGGCGATCTTTCTGCCTCAGCCTCCCAAGTAGCTGGGACTACAGGTGCATATCACCATGTCTGGCAAATTTTTTTTTTTTTTAATTGTAGGGATAGGGTCTCGCCACATTGCCCAGGCTGGTCTGGAAATCCTGGGCTCAGGCATTTCTCTTGCCTTGGCCTCCCAGAGTGTTGGAATTACGGGTGTGAGCCACTGCACCCATCCTATCTGTATATAGTCTTTGGAGAAATGTATATTCAAAGACTTTGTCCATTTTTTAATTGAGCCATTTGTCTCTGTTGTTATTGCTGTAAGAGTTCTTTCTGTATTCTGTATACTAGATTCTTACCAGATTTATAATTTACAAATATTTTGTATTTTCTTCCCATCTGTGAGTTGTCTTCTCTCTTTCTTGAAAGTGACTTTGGATGCATAAAAGTTTTTAATTTTGATGAAATTCTGTTTATCTAATTTTTCTTTTGTTGCTTGTATTTTTGGTGTCATAGTTAAGAATTCATTGCCAAATTCAAGTGCATGAAGGCTTATACCTATGTCTTGTTCTAAAAATTTTATAGTTTTAGCTCTTACATTAGGCCTCTGATTCACTTTGAGTAAATTTTTATATATGATGAGAGGTATGGACTTGGTTTATTATCATCTCTGTCATCTCTTAGGTATATTTTATTTATTTGTTTGTGTATCCTTATGCCAATAGGTTGAGTATCCTTTATCCAAAATGCTTGGGACCGGAAGTATTTTGGATTTTGAAATATTTGCATTATACTTCCCAGTTGAGCAACCTAGTTTGAAAATCTGAAATGCTCCAGTGAGCATTTCCTTTGAGCATCATGTCAGCAGTCCTAACATTTCAAATTTTGGAACCTTTTGGATTTCAAATTTTCAGAGTTAGGATCTTCAACCTGTATTACACTGTAAATGATTACTGTTGCTTTTGATAAGTTTTGCAGTTGGGCGTATGTGTCTCTTTTGTTCTTCTTTTTCAAGATTATTTTGGCTATTCTGCATTCTTTATAATTCCATATTAATTTTAGAAGTAGCTTTTCAGTTTTCAGATTGTTCAAGTTTTCAGAATGTTCAAGTACAGAAATACAATTGAATTTTTTTTTTTTTTGAGTAGGAATCTCACTCTGTCTCTGAGGCTGGAACGCGATGGCATGTTTTTGGCCACCACAGCCTCGACCTGCTGGGCTCAGGTGATCCTTCTGCCTCAGCCTTCCAAGTAGCTGGAGCCACAGATGCGTGCTCCCATGCCTGGCTAATTTTTTGAGTTTTTCTGTTGAGATGAGGTCTCGCCAAATTACTCAGGCTGGTCTTGAGCCCCTGGACTCGGGCAATCCTCTCACCTCAGCCTACCAAAGTGCTGGGATTGCAGGCATGAGCCATCACACCCAGTGAAATTGATTTTTTTTTTTTTGAGTTGGAGTCTCACTCCTTCGTCCAGACTGGAGTGCAGTGGCACGCACGCTCGTGGCCACCCCAGCGTCAATCTGCTGGACTCCGGCTATCTGTCTGCCTCAGCCTTCTAAGTAGCCGGAACTACAGGTATGCGCTACCATGCCCAGCTATTTTTTATTTTATTGTAGAGATGAGGTCTCGCCAAGTTGCCCAGGCTGGTCTCGAACCCACGGGCTCTGGCAATCCACTCGCCTTGGCCTCCAAAAGTGCTGGGATTACTGGCTGAGCCACCAAGCCCGGCAACAATTGATTTTTTAATGTATCTTATATCTTCCAACCTTGATGAATTATTAGTTTTAATCTTTTTAAAGTGGGTTTCTGCCAGGCACAGTGGTTCACATCTGTAATCTCAGCACTTTGGGAGACTAAAGAGGAAGGACTGCATGATCCCAGGCGTTTGAGACCAGCCTGAACAATATAGCAAAACCTTGTCTATACAAAAAAATCAAAAAATTAGCTGGGCATAGTGGCATATGCCAGCTATGAAGTCCCAGCTACTTGGGAGGCTGAGAAGTGTAGAGAGGACTTAATGTCCTGAAAGTCAAGTGTGGTATCCAACTACCAAGGTAGTTCCCAATGATCCCTGCCTTCTGATTTTCATACTCTGGCATAGTAACTTCCAATAATGCACCAGGTATGCTCTGTGCGATCAGTAGAATAGATGGTAGAAATCATAGTATATTATGTCTAAGATTAAGAAGTTATACATTTTAAGATATCACAGCTTCCATCTTAGTCACTCTCTGTGGGGAAAACCCGCTGCTATGGAGAGGATCACATGGGAGAGGAGCAGAAGTCTCTCTATAGTCAATGGCCATGTGAGTAAGCCATCTTACAGGCAGGGACTACATCCCCTAGCCCATGACTTGATTGCAATCTTATGAGACACCCTAGTCAGTAAAGGTGGGGAAGAAATAAATTCTGGGGAACATTTTAAAGGTCACGTCCTCTGGATTTGCTGATGGGTTGGATATAGTGTGTGAAAGAGAGAGATCAAGGATGACTCCAAGGTTTTTGGCAAAAAGATTAGAAAGATAGGATGCCATTAGAGATGGGAGGATTCTGTAAAGAATAGTTTTGGGAAACATGTTACAGTTGGCTTTTATTTTATACACTAAGAGTTGGAAATTTGATATAAAAGTCTGGAAATTAGGGGAGAGGTTTAGAGGTCTGGAGATAGAAATTTAGGTGTCATCAACCTATAGCTGGAATTTTAAGCTGTGAGATTAGATGAGAGGGAATATAGATACAGAAAAGATTTGTTCCCCTCTTTGTAATGACTCAGTTCTTTAGTTCTCAGCTTAAATGTTTATCAAGCAAAGATCTTCCTTGACTTGAACCAAAATACATTACTCTGCTAAATGTTCCCATCCCTGACCTTGTACATCTTTGAGTTTTTAGAGCCCATTGGGTCTGCCACGTGGTAGGCACCTGGTAAAAAATTAATGGCTAAATGACAGAACTCTGTAGAAGTCATTCATTTTTTATATGCATTTTAGCGATCTCCCATCCTGATGTACAAACCATAGAGCACATATGCTGTTTGATGCTTTAAGAATCCTGTTTTCCTTCAAGGGAAGTGTGAGAAACTGAGCAAGCAGCAGCTATTCCAAACCATATAGAACTGAGGAATGTTTATAATCTCTCTCATATCTAGCTTTCTTAACTTTTCTGTTTTATTTTATTTTGGGGTTTTTTTTGTTATTGTTTTGTTTTTAGGGATGGGATCTTACTCTGTTGCCCAGGCTGGAGTGCAGTAACTATTCACAGGCATAATCATAGCTCACTGAAGCATCAAACTCCTGGGCTCAAGCAAACCTCTTGCCTCAGCCTCCTGAGTAGCTGGAACTACAGGCACATGCCACAATGTGCTTTTCTGAAGAAGTCTTGGCATCCTCCATCCCAAGCAATTTTACCTTCTGATTGTTCACACTCTCCAATGCATGGTCTCCTCTAGTCCTGAAATTTCATACAAAAAAAGGGTGGTTATAACTGCTTAGGAACCAAAGAAATGAATGTTCTCTGAAGGCCTGAGCTTTTGTGCAGCTGCCTCTGACAACTGAAGTGCCTCAAGGAAGTTCTTGGGTTTGTGTTACCAAGGAACTAGTTAGAAGTTAGAAATGCAGATTCTTAGGGCCTGGCAATCCTTATTTTAACAAGCCTTCAGGGTAATTGAGATATAAGATACAATTTTTAAAGGCCTTCTCAGAAAGTGGGAATCTTTTTTTTTTTGAGTCAGGGTCTCACTTTGTCACCCAGGCTTGAGTGCTGTGGCACGATCACAGGAGATAATACCTCCTGAGCCCAAGAAATCCTGCCTCAGCTTCCCGGGTAGCTGAGACTATAAGCGCATGCTACCATGCCCAGCACCATTTTTTCTGACAATATTCTTCATAAGATAATAAGGTCTTGCTATGATGCCCAGGCTGTCTCAAACTCCTGGGCTCAAACAATCCTCCTGCCTTGGCCTCCCAAACTGCTGGAATTATAGGCATGAGCCTCTGTGCATCCAGTCAGAAAGTGGAATTCTTTTTTGACCTGATCAGTTTTACTTTTTTTTTTTAACATAAGCAAGTGCAGAGTTTACCTGATACTTTGAGTACCTTTACTCATGACAGCTCTCTTGAGTCCTAGAGTTTATTCCTTTTCTCAGGGTGTCAGCTGCTTACCTTGTCTCATTCAGACAGCTTTCAAAATGCAGTTTTCTTCTTGATGTCTACATGAGGTGAAATTTCTTCTTCTTTTTTTTTTTTTACTCATTATGGCTTTTAAAAAATAACTTAAAAGCTGGGCTCGGTGGCTCAACCTGTAATCCCGCACCTTGGGAGGCTGAGGTGAGTGGATTGCCTGAGCCCAGGGGTTCGAGACCCACCTGGGCAACTTGGCGAGACCTCATCACTACAATAAATCAAAAAATTAGCCGGGCGTGGTAGCGCACGCCTGTAATTCCAGCTACTTGGAAGGCTGAGGTGGAAGGATCGCCAGAGCCCAGCAGGTTGAGGCTGTGGTGGCCGGGAATGGGCCACTGCACTCCAGTCTGGGCGACAGAGTAAGACTCCGACTCAAATAAAAATAACTTAAAATGAAGGTCTAAGCCGGGCTCGGTGGCTCAGCCTATAATCCTGCGCCTTTGGGAGGCTGAGGTGAGTGGATTGCCTGAGCTCGCAGGTTCGAGAC